CTATTCTTAGCCCTATTCTGTAATTCAGCTGGCTATGAATAAGACATTTGGTGATGCAACTCTTCCTTTTCTCTCATCGTCCTGGGGCATCCAGCAATATATCACACTGCAGAGCGCAAGTGTTTTCTATTTTAGAGTCAGCCCCATCCTTAGGATCACAATATATTGGATTTTTGTCACCCTAGGTGATGAAGGAAAGTTAGTTGAATTTTCCCACAATGATATAAGCAGACTTTAAGTTTACATTGAATTTCACAGCCTTGTTTCACAAAAAGTAGCCTCATCCATGGTGGGCTGCAGCGAGACTCGAAACATGGCAGTGCAGCATATAGTCTCGACACCTTAATCACTACGCCACATTGCCACGAGCGCCCTTGGGTGACAGGTCAGATGTGAACTTTAAGGAAGGCGGCATTCTGTGGCGGGATTGCCGATGAAGCAAAGTTATATTTGCTATAGCAATCGAATAGTCTTATTTACTGGTAGCCCCACAAACCTACTTAGAAATTGATATAAATATATGTGAATATAAATAAATAAATAAATAAATGTATGTATAGAATAACCATTCATCAGATGAACAAAGATAAAAGCATTCTGAGTATTTGGTCGCGCAGGAAGCATCTGAACTAACCTTCCACCTCTAATTGAATCCTTGATACTCTTAAGACAGGGCCGACGATTCCCGAGGCTAGGAGTTTGACGAACCCTGGATCCAAAATTAACCCACTCCACAGCACAAGGGGTTATACCAACAGAAGCAGGAGGAGCATGTGGCAAAGAATAAGTGACTAAATTATCAGCCTGTGCATGAGTGTTATTACAGTTGGTTCCATCACCGGCCAATTGTCCAAGAGAAGTCATACCACTGGGCTCTACGGTATCTATGCAAGAGGTCATCTGAGAATCGGCTGTAAGAGGATTAGGAGAGAGCTGAAGAGTCTTGGTGCAGCGATCAACTAACTTAGAAGACTGTGGCCGCTGGGGCAGGAAAGCAAATTCAGATCTGAGTTGGAGAGACTGGAATTCAAACATGAGGAAATTATTGAATATCCTAGTAATATCTAAGTATAAGCATCTAAATATAAAAGTTTCTGTCACAATAAATGTTATATAACATGAAGCAAATATCTTTGTAATAGATCGAATATAAGAATTTGTTCGAAAGTGCTGATATAGATAATGCAAGATGAATCGTTATTACAAAAATCGGGGTTTAATTGAGTCTCGAAAATTTAAAAACATTTCACATACAATAATATTGTAAAATCAAAGAGAATCTAAGTGCTACCTATAAAAAAACAACTATGAGTAAGTAATAAGATAATTTTACTTAACTATATATTTCATTAGGCCGCCAAAAGAATACGAATTTATACAACTTAACATACAACAATTTTCCTAGATATCAGAAAAAGAGGTTAGAGAAATCGAAAAGAGTAATTTTATGAAACTATTAAAATTCAAATTTATTTCAAATGGGTGGAAAACAAATTAATTTATATAGATTAATTCACGAATTCAAAAAAATATACCATAACAAATGTGTTTGCTATTAAAGGAAATTCCAGTTTCAAAACTAGTAGAATCGAAGTGATTAAAGTAGACAGATTCTTAAGATTTAAAATTACAATTATTCAGAATTGGCTCAGCAAGTTTCAGTTTATTCCTGAGCATTAGCAGCACGCTGTAAACCTGCATATTTTTAAAAAAAGCGCCTTGAGCTCAATGGTCAGCATTCAAGATTGTCAGATATTCGAAGACTTTAAAAGATAAATACCAGTAGGAAAATATTTGAAATAGACAGCTGATAAGACCTAGGCTGAGTCGAAACTCCAGTTCACTCTGGATGAGCATACCTTTTGGAAAGCAAGACTATGTGAAATTCAGTGAAAATGTAAGGTCCACTCATATCATTATGTGAAAATTAAACTAGCACTTCCTCACCACCTTAAACGAGATAGAGTAAACAAATCTCATATAAAAACAAAAGGTTAAAAATGTGCACTTCGCTGCTGATGGAATACAACTAAGCATTTTAAAATAGGATTATTACATGCAGTGTACATGATAAGGAATAAAATAAAATGCGACTCGTCAAACGTTCATTTATGGATGACATTTGGGAAAAGGTATTTTAGCATTATCTGCGCTACAAATTCTTTAGTTCTGCTGTAAAATTTACAACTTAAATATAAGGTATTCAGAATTTTGATTCGGATAGAAAAAATAAAAATAACCAGCAGTGTGGAAATTAGAAAATGCCCTTTTATCATATGGCAGTCACCGGTTATCCCGTTACACGATTAAGACAAAGCAATTATGGAACAAAATTTGCCAGAGTAGGTCACATAAAGTAGTGTGTGAACTGATTCTGACGAAATGATCCGGCTCCATGATACCATTTGCTTTAATTTATTATTTTCTCAGAAATTAGTTTCTACATTCAGGGTACTACTGTCTTGACAATGCCTGGTTCTCACCAGGATCATGAAGTGCATTCATTAATTGTGATAAATCCAACTATCAGTCCACTCATCACCTTAAGCGACCTATGGTAATTCAAGTTCTTATTCAAGAGATAATGATAGCTTGGAAACATAACTGCTCAATACACAATTAAGGAGAAATAGGGCATCGAGCTTCCACCCCACTAAACATATATTCAACCTGCCTAGTCAGACGACGATGATAAGTGTTTCAGTATTAAGATGAAATATCAGGTGTATGATTTTTTCTATTTAAATCAATATTCGACGATAAGCAAGGGAAGTCGTGTGGACAAGTTTGGTAATGAAAATCTGCGTGCATATTTCACATAGGCTGAAGCGTGGAGGCGGGAGCTGAGCAAAAACGAAAGCCTTATTTATTACAAAGCTTCTTGTAGTCGTGTTCGTTTTCGTACCCTGGAATAAAATTTCTGAGTGGCAAGGTAAAAAGGGGTAAAGTTATTTGGCAGAGAAACTGCGAGTTATTCCAGATGCCTGGTGTTGTAAAAAGGATAAGAGCGTCTGGTGAGAAATTTGTCTTATAGAAGATATCTTGGGAGCGTGGAATGAAAGCTTCATTAGTAGTCATAATGAAGGAACAGCAATGAAATTTGGAACCTTCTGAGCGAACAAATCAAGATCCAAGAGAACGACGAGGGAAACTATGACATACAACAGTATAAATACATGAATTGGAGCTGCACAAGTCTTTGTGTAAAAGTAGGAAGGGAAAAACAATATAGCTAGCCAACCGTCAGAACTGATTCAACCATACCAGCAGAATGTTACCAGAATAAATAGGCTTACAAAGTCAAAATCGTGTTATAATGAGTATATGACATTTGAAGTCATGGTTTTGAACGAAATTGATACCAAAAGCAAACATGGATAGCCTACACAAATATTGTATTGACCATAAAAGATATTTTCCTTGTCAATAACCTCCTTATTGATTTTGTAGCCTTATAGAGAAAAGGAAAGATCAGAGACTTTTATGAGTAAATGCCCTTGTAAATTCGACGAGCACTTCGTATATTTCATTTCTATAGTCTAAGAAAGCATATGAAATTCGCACAGAATTAGTCAAATGAGACAGATAGGCCAATATGAGTGATTAATTCAATAATTCAGAACAGATAATAAATTGGGAACGAAAAAGAGATTAGCCTATAAGGTGCAACCATAAAGGATCTAGGAAATCAATAATTATCAAGATGAATAGCATGGGTGTGCAAATATGTGCTTAGGCCTGTACAGCAACTCACAAATGAAGAATACGGAAATTATTTCTTCTATCCATAATAAATAGGTTTAGAGAATAGAAAAAGATCTAAAGCTCTTATTAATGAGTACTTTTGTTCTTGGAATTAGGACCAACATTTGCAAATTCAATTAAACGTTAACCAAGACAACAGTGCAGATTCGAATGATGACGACCTGACATGCAACTATGGTGGAGCGTACCGATGTGTACATATGTTCGGCCACGTCTACTTATTTGACTCGTTTGTGTCAATGCAAATCTGGTTGCTAGAGGATAACATTGTGAACAGACACAATTTTCTGATTTACAATATATTTAAAATTGCAGCAACGTAAATATGGGAAGGCAGGAATCAACCTAAAGGCAAGGTAAATATAACAAGGTCGTCAAGACAAAGTAAATTCGATAAAATATATTCAAACAATAATACGTAGAAAGGCAAGCAATCCGCCTTAACTGAGAAATTTAGAAATGATAATAGAACATGGGCTGCTAAAATATACGTTATTTATAAGTTGTTTGACCTTATTTTGTCAACTTGGTCGTATTGTTAGGAAGACGTAGAGGAATGTAGCTTGTCCGGGGTCCATAATATTCATAATAATGTCCATAATCGCACCTTGGACTTGGCACATTCCCAGACGTTTCGCTGGTATTGTATTAAGCATCATCAGTGAGCCTTACCGATCTTAGCACCACACTGCAACTCATCAAAGAAACAAGTGAGGCCAATCATCTGACTAATAGTTTGCTAAATAATTGTGGTATCACTCCTTCCATCCTGGTGTATTCACTCATCAAATCACTCCGTAGTACATCTTCCCTATCACAATGTTGACTTGCTTACTTAAATTTAGCTCTGATGTGCCCCTTTGAACGGATTATTCGCCATATCAGTCTGCAACCATCTTCCCTTAGGTCCAATCAGTTTCCCTCTTTAGGATCCGTCTCTTGTCGCTCTGGTTTCATTCGATCACTGCCATATCTGTGCTATATGAGTCGTGATTTCACACTGCCTCAAGCCTTTGATAGCACATATACTCCCGCCTCAGTGAGCAGGCCTCCAGTCTGGATTCTCAAGCTTGCTGGTAAGCTGACTTACGGATATAGATCCTCTTACCACCATTCTGCATGTGAACCCAGTACGTTTCATGATCAAGCCTTTAATTCACCGTCCATGTCTATGCTTAAACCAGTCTATTGTTAGCTAATTATCTCTGGTCTCAGCCGCGTCTATCACACTCCTATGCATAATGTCAATTCAATGATTTCCTATGCGATATTTCAGTGAAGAATGTTGTATTTTCCTTCATTATCATCTGAATATTCAAATTGTATTAGTAAGGATCGCAATTTTTGGTTTAATCCACGGGATAACAGACGTATCCTCTTTAAGACGTCCTCCCGATTCATACAATCAAAGTTGAAATCGGCTCTTTAGGACCCCTATATTTCCTTCTATAAATTCTCTGGTGTACCTGTTACAAGGTAAATCCGAGTTAGTTTGTTTAATTCTTCGTTCCAGAGCTCCCTGTCCGTTAGTCTTAAGCTTCTGATGATCAAACTCCTCAGTATTTCTATCTTCATTCTGTAGTTGTGATAAGACTGAAAACCGAGGATAATTCCCGCATGTGATTTCTTTATTAATAATCTTCTTTTAAGTATCCCATTGAAGCAAATAATCCCAACATTTGGGAAAGGTAGTTGGCCATGCTCCTCCTCCTTGATTGTGAATTTAATTTTTTCATCAAGTTGGTTCATAAAGTTGAGAAATTCATGTAAATATTACTTACCATGCAACCATAATGCAAAGTAGTAATCCAGGTATCGAATAGGCACTCTTGGTTGCAATGATAAATTCTTTGATTCCCCTTCTAATTTATCCATGTAGGAGAGGTAAGAATGGAGATCACATCGGTAGTCTAAATACTTGTTCATGGATATTACCGTTGAATGTAAACTAGGGTGGCCCGTAATGTAAGGCTTATCAGTCGTGTTAATTTCTTCCTTATTAACTGTGCCTTAATGATATCCTCGTCTCGTTCTAAGATCTTAAGTATACCCTTTATCGCCCTCAACCCTGAAATGTTTGTGTACATGGATTTTGCGTCAACATTTACCAATAGTTCCGTCCCCATCAGTCCAATGTCTTGAATCCTTTGAGAAAATTTACACATCGCACAGACAAGACACAAGATCACTTGAAAAGCAACAGAAAGAAGAGCCACATACGGTGACAACAAAATGAAGCAGAAGATAAGGGAGGCCGTTGACATCCTTGG